GACATTATTATCGATACAAAGGCCGAATCTATAGTTTTTAGATTTTTTGTCTGTCTGTCTGGGAACGCATCACGAAAAACCACTGGACAGAATGTGATGAAATTTGGCATGATGATAGCTAGTTATCCGGATCAACATATAGGATACTTTTTACTTCGGAAAAATATCTCATCTCTGAGATATCTTTACACATTAAGAAAATAAAACAGATTAAAAGTTTGCAGGATAACGAAATCTATTTAAGCTAACAAAAATAGCCCGAATTAGCCATGCTTAATTTCTTTGTATGGGATGGGTCATGGGCATTTGTATAGTGTTAAGTGATCTGTTATATTAGTAAATTATGTAGGTACTATTAGTATAAGTTGGTTCTAAAGTTTGGACAATCACAAGAAATTACATGTGAAATTAACAAAACTTGATTATTTCTTTTAAAAAGATCTTTTACTTTTAGTTCACCTATAAAATTACTATCCAGTACATTATCCTTATAAGTGAGATTTCTGCTGAGCAATCATATAAGTAGGCTGTGATTACAATTCATAACGTTTTATTTTTATTTTAATAACAATTCAGTTGTACTTTCTGTTGAATTCATAATTTCAAATTGAGTCATCCCCGTCCATTTGTCCAAAAATTAAACCAAAAGTATGCGTCAAAAACAGCATTTAACTCGCGTTTACTGTACATTTAACTACAAACACCACATTTCATATTAGTAATATCTTGTAAAATAACAAATAATGAATTAATAAGTAAAAGTATTCTTACATGGAACGTAACGTGTTGAGCGCCATACTACGAGTACTAAAGCAAATATACCCAATAAAAGCTCTACTAAAGTTGGCACAGATATTGAAAGTTACAAAATGTAAGGCATAAGTAGTGAAGGCCCAATAAATGAGTTTCACCTTGAACTGGCACAGTTACATCGAAATGCTTTGCCCAAGTTTCAAAAACCTGAATTTTGATTTCGATATTGGTACTTGTTTTACGTGATCTTTTAAGATCGCTTTATCATACTTTATTGGTAACTAGCGTCAAAGTTTTAACGTTTAGTATAGATTTCTCAGAGATGAGATATTTTCCCGCAGTAAAAAATATACTATATATTGACCCGGATAACCAGCTAGCATCATACCAAACACAGAAATCTTAATAATAAGGTAATAGAAATGCCATTGCGGTCTTTTAGTACTGGGACGCGTGTCGCCGGCTTGCAGCTACCAACACATTGACAAACAATAAATACACACTATCGCTACACATGCATTTTGCATTGTTGCAACAAAGATTAAACTTTAAGCGATGACATTACGCAATATTTTCTAAAAACGCATAATCTCGTAACCCGTGATCCCTGTGACCAATAATAAACGTGTGCGAAAAGCACAGAATGATATCGCGCGCTCACTTCTAGTGCAGCACAAAGCGCATAATGCTCATATCGATAATTTTCCGTTGAGTCTTGCAACAATAGGTAACTAATTTATTGAAAGTGTTTTATGTTTCATTCCTCGACGCGATTTTAGACGATTTATTTATTTTCATAAAGGGAATACAATAAAACGTTAAAAGTAAGTAATTTTTTTTATTATTATATAGTTATACACTCAACAGCTACTATATACTCAACAGCGATATATTGTTTTTAATTCTAGTTTAATTTAATGAAGAGTCTGACTGAATTTTGTTTTTATAATGTTTTTATTGACTTGCATATATATGCATAAGTGATATAAAAATTGACTTGTATAACTACATATATGTTATTATATTCTAAATTGGGTGTATACCTTTGCAATAAATATTATTATTATTATTATACAAAAGTTATGCAAACTATTTGTTAAAATCCTATACATTTTTAACAATGACTTAATTTTTTTTCATAGAATTTCTATGTTATGTTTATCAAACAACTCGCCCTTAGAATTATTTACTCAATCAAATCAAATCAAAAAAAATATTTGGTAAATGCGGAACATGTCAACGATACAAGGATATTCAACGCATACTGTTTTTGACTTACCCATATACATAACAATAATAAGCCTACCTCCTAATAATTTTCTGAATGAAAAAGTAGTTTAAAAGTACGAATTTACAGATAATCGTTGATAAATGACTTTTTATAAATTATTCAGACAGAAAGAAAACATACATAATGAGATGTAACAATTAAATATTTAACGAAAAATATTAAGCCAAACGTAATAAATTTTCGATAAAAAATAGTGGTGGCACGTCACTAATTCGCGGCCAACTTATGCGGCGTGTCCTTGGAATTTACGTACGCGACGATATTGTTCTTTACGCATGACTATTATTTCATTGCTGCTTTTAGCAGTTGTAATAGTAGACATGAACAAGCTTAAGTGGTAATGGTTATTGAATTGAAAAAAAAACGTTTTCCTGCGATAATCGTAGTAGTGGTGGTGAAAACATTTGATTTGGCTATATTTCTTAAAAACGACATTATTTCAAAAATTAAGTACTTATATATGAAATGTTATCCCTTTATTTGTAAAGTTACAAATTGTGGAAGAATTTCCGCAGTTAGATATGCTGCAAAACACCATGTTTACCTCTCCGTGTCTCAAATAACACTAGTTACCGCAACAAACGCTTTACACGCGCTTGTGACCTACGAGTCACATGCGCGGCGACAAGGTCACGCGTCTATGCCACTTCTATTAGCTTATTATTAAGATTTCTGTGATACCAAACTTCATCAAAATCTGTCCAGTGGTTTTCTTATGATGCATTAAACTACATATTCGTCCTCTGTATCGATAATAATGAATATTTCAATAAGATTCGAAAAACCAAAAAATATTTAATGTACAGATACGACTGACTATCAGTTAAATTTTTATTATATAGATAGATATTTAGATTACAACGCTTTTATTACCTCTAGTTGTAACTTACTATTTATTTAAATATTTTTGGTCATAACATAATTAATAATTATAGTTTAAAATTATAAGTACGGTAAGTAGGACTGATGGATCACTTTTAGATGTAAAATACATTTTAAGACAAGTAAACTACCTATAATTAAATTTTGTGAGTTTATTTCCCCATTTATTTAAAAAATATATATAACTCTTCAAACGTCTTGAATCTTGAAAAATTTATATGCGAAATTCTGTTAACAATACGTTTTGACGAGTCCCAAAAATTACAATACAAAAGAAAATTTTCAATTCAGGCAATTATTTGTTCTTATGACAAAATTTTTATTGATACCACCAGCCCAGTTAAATGGTGCGCGTAATACACGCAATAAAATCGGACAAGTGCGAGTCTGACTCGAGCACCGAGGTTGCCATACTAGTAACATTAAAACTATGTTGTTTTAGATTACTTAAATACATATACATATATAAGACACCTACGAATGAAATAGCAAGGATGCCATTTTAGATTTTTGACTACGTAATCGTAAAAATATAAATATTGATTATTATTTCACAAAACTTGTATGTACATCATAAAATTGTTACTAATCGTTAGCTATAATATTTTGTCAAGTTAAACGGACCTTTAGATTTTATACTCCGCTTGAGTTCTTCCACTTTTGAAACTCGACTTTCTTAAATATTTATCCTTCTACCAAGGCTTTTTGATAAAATATTTATTTTGGCAACAAAGAGCTAATTAAAGGTAAGTTTTGTTCAAGATATTACTCAGAAGTATGACGATAAGAAGAGAAGAATCACTATAGAAAAATGTATAAAATAAACATTGTTCGTTCAACAAATATTTTATATTGAGATAATTTGCCTGATGATTCTAAAATTTTTACTAAAAATCACCTTCTTAGTTCAAAAATATTGTTTAAAATAAATAAATATCTAATTAACCATGCATCCGATTGCGATGAAACTTTGGTAAGTGGTTCTGAAGGTTCGGGTAGTCTACGCTAGTTTAGTTTAAATCTATTGGAACCTGTTTAGGAACTCTTACTTTGCATACAATACGTTCTCACTATGCCAGCGCTAAAGTGTTTATTTATTTATTTACTTATTATAGCTTATGAAAGCTCTTCCCCTTGAGATGATACCATGTAATGACATATAATAGTTTTTCATCTCACAAAACATATCATATATAAGGGGGTGAAAGGAGGGGTGAAAGATTAAATGGAAAATTAATCATTTCTCAAGTACTTAAGGGCCAAATATTTTTTTATCTTTTATAATCCTTACCTACTTTTCTTGCCTATTCTATACTTACTGTTAAAACGTACCTAATAACAATGACAGAAATTTCATTTCTATCACCCTAATTTAAGAATAGGAATATGACAGTAATGGCCCGACTAGTCGGTGCTTTTTGCCGACTAGTCGCCGAATAAAATATAGATAGTCAGGCGGCTTTCCCGACTAATCGGCCACTAGTCGGTACATCTCTAATAACTAAGTATATATACATACCTAACTATATACCTATATACTCCTACTGTGTATATGGGCTAGAGAGGTAAGAGAGAGAGGCGCCGATATCTCTACAGGCTTCGATATACAATTAGTAGTCTTTTCTACATAAATCACAATTTAATCTGAATTTTAACTTACGAGTGGCCCTACTTTTACGAGTACCACGCAAGTTTTAAAGAACGTAATGAGTTACAAATGTCGAAATTATAGGAATGCTGCAGACTGTAGTGTACATAGTTTAACCATATATGTATGTATAAAAATTGTCATTTTATTTGCAATTTATTTCACAAAGGTCGAACAGTAGTTCCAAAAATATCAATAACCTTGTAATTTATTATAATACTACTGAGTACCCTTGTAACTTTTTGATCGACTTTAAATAGGAAGAGGTACTAAATTCGAGTGTGTATTAATTTCTAAAGAAAAAAATACTCTATTGAATACCACTCTTTTATTTACCTCAATTCTCTCGAATTTCAATTTTTCGTCGATTAAAAATTAGCCGGTAATCAAAATTATGTTTTTCAAGCTGTCATCATAAATACTTACCATCCATTGGGATTTAACTTCTCCTTTTCGGCGTCCTTTGCGTCGTTACCGGTTCTCATATTTTGATAATTAAATTACAGATTAAAAACACTTCACTGTATTTCATTTAATTCACTGGTATCACAGCTTTATCACTTGGATCCTAACTTATTTCTTATCACTAATGTAATTTTATTACTCTAACCTAATATACTATTTAAGTAACAGGTTTAAAAAAAACTGGGATAAGGTCAATCTGAAAATAATGATAATAATGTAAATAAGGCTCTTTCGTCAAATTACTCAACTATCTATGCTTTTAATTAAAAAAAATGTTATTTACTTATTAGTGATGTTCGCCTAAATTCCTTTATAAAAAAAAAACAAATATTAATAAAACAAAAAAAACAAACTAAGTAAATTGTCTAACTATAATAATAGAATTTAAATTAAAAAACTATACGTATGAGATTTATTAGCGGTAAGCTAATCTTTACTATAGCTTCGTCAGTGAGAAACTGAGTAAAGGCTATATACATTTTTTATTATCAGGATAAACCTTTTAGATAATAGCGCACGTTTATACTGTGTCGATTATATGCAGACGACACGCGTGTTGCTACCATGTGACTCGTGATGTAATAGAGTATGCTGTATGACATGCCAATACATATTAATTATTAAGTGATGCATTTAATAGTGCTAAAACATCGATACATTTTTGATCGAGGTGCTAAATGATTTTTTACATATAAACAAAGTACGTGTTATTTTTGTTTTTTTTTGAGCGAACAAAAATCCTAGTAATCCGACTAATATTATAAACGTGAAAGTTTGTGAGGATCGATGGATGGCTATTTGTTACTCTTTTACGCAAAAACCAATTGATTTACAGTGATATAGCTTATACCTACATCAGAGTAATATATAGGCTATAATTCTTAAAATACGTATATAGTAACTAGCGACTTCGCTCGGGTTCGTCCCTAGGTGTAGGAAGTTTTAACGGTTAGTATGAATTACAAATCTTTGAATTTCTCTGCTTTTCTGTACTAAAATATGCATGTATTATTAAATATATATATATATATATATATTATATATATATATATAAACCTTCCTCTTGAATCACTCTATCTATTGCTGAAAACTGCATTAAAATCCATTAAGTAGTTTAAAAGATCTAAGCGAGTAGACAACAGAAGCGACTTCATAGACATAATATGCCATCGCGAACTTTTCTGTAGACCTATATAAGATACACAATTCCACCATACATTATTTTGTTTTAAAGGGTTTAGGCAGCGTTTTCGTCGAAAGCTCTCAGACGGCTTATTTTTTTAGTGATACATAATTGAAGTAAGCGTTAGAAGCCGCGAGGAAACTATAGTACTTCAATACTAGTACTTAATCCCTCCACGTCGTGTCGTCAATGTAACAATAGATTTCTTAGAATTTTAATTAATTTCTTAGAAATTTACCTGGCGGTGTTAATAATTGTATAATACAGTATACACACTTGCATCTAAAGGCAACTTTAAAAAAACACATAGTAACCAATAGCTTCCGTCGTGTACAATCAACTACATATCAAATTATTTTTGCAAGAAATAGTTCGCATAATTACATATACTTACATAATGTTTCAGCGGGAACTAATATTTTTGTTTAGGTTTTAAAATCGATGTGAGTAAACAACCTAGCTTTGACATCAGATTAGATACATTATGATTGATAGATAATGAAAAATTAAATTATGTAGAAAGATAAAAGAAAAACTTCGCAATGCAAAATGTTTTTTTTTTTAATATTTAAATTGGACATAAAAAAATAAGCCAAGTTCCGTAGTGTGATGCTATGGAGCCTATCGAACTGGTAGTTACAGAGTAGGTACTTAGTTAATAGTTTAAATAAACAAATTCTTCAACGTTATATATTGGTAACACATTAAAAATAAGACAATTTATCGTTACACAAAAAACGCCACGACATAATGTAAACGCTCTCATAACAATGAACATAGCGCCTTGTAAATATAATTATCAAGAGACCTAGCATATTGTGCGAGAATATTTTTTGTTCTACTGTACGCTGTCATGACGTGACTAGTATGAAATATTTTTTATTATGAAGTATTTTTTTAATTCATATACAAGAAGTTTATAATTGTTTTTTTAATAATAATATTAAGGGCTGAATCGCTAATAAAAAACGAATATTTTTTTATAAATTAGTCATTGCTTATTTTTTTAAACTTCACTTTAATCAACAGGTTTCTTCACAAAATGTGTAATATCAGTTATTGCAACATATGAAACAAATGACAACCACGAGGCAATGCTTGCGCAAGCGCAGTATGTTTATACAATAATATAATCTTCCCAAATTGTTTTTTTTTTAATATTTTAAACTAACATGTTTCAAATAATATATTATATGTTTTGGTATTATAATAATAGAAAAGAAAAGGTTTCCTTGCATAGTTGTAGTCTTTGAAAATTTGTCATAAGGATAATTAGGAATAACGTATGAAGACCCGGACAAAATCTAGTCTGTATCAAAGAAGTTGTTATTACGAAATAAATTTTCAGCATACATAAACCCATCTAGTTAGATGGGTTTACGTAAGCTTGTTAAAGATAATGTATGTACTTAAGCCAAATCTTATCGATTTTTGATTGGCGTTTGATAGACACTTCAAAATGATCATCGACTTCTACTTAGTAATTTATCTGGTAGGTATATACTTATAATTAAACATTGAAACTAGGTACATATTATCTATTGTAACTAACAATAAGATTCGATGTAAAATATAATAAATAAAAATAAAAAGTATTGTTTAAAATTGTTATAATATCTTAAACCGATTTTAAAAAAGGAGAAAATCTTTAATTCGTGTAGTATTACTTGTTATTTTTCCGCAATTTACTCCGTCTATATTTTAAATCCAATACATTTAAGTATGAACAGAATGTAATCAACCCAACATTTAACATTTTAATGTCAACCACTTTAACGTCGTCCTCAAAGGCTATATAAATAAAACTTTTACAACATCGAGTAAAAATTTCATACGTAGGAAACTTGTAAGGTTACCATGACCTCGATTACGCCCCAAATAATTCTGCTGATACGGAGATATTGCCATTGTTTGTATGTTTGTATGTTAATTGTTAAAACCATCGCTGAGAGCATCGTGGAAAATATCAGTGCATTTTAGCGACTGCTATGACGATCGTGTTTGATAAGTTAGTCGTACATCTGACAGGTCCATCTGCGCGGGTTCATCGTATACACGTGATAATCACTGGAGTTTGATAGTTGATAATTGATATCAATTAATCCTAGAAGCCACGAAACTAAAGAATTGAATTGAATTGATATACATTTATACTTTGCTGTCAAAATGTTACTTTTAATAGCAGACGACTTTCACCTTATTACTAGGTATTCGAGCTATCTATATATAAATAGACAAAGACAAAATGGTTCCAGTACCTTTTCTTCTCTTTGTCAACCGGTTTTTTTTGTTTAGTACCTATTGGCGAGAGTGGCGTAGTGTTATCAAAAAAATATTGGAAACTTTTTTTAGCGATGAAATTATCGATATTTTTTAAATTTTACATTTTCTGTAGGTGATACAGAAATGTCAAAAGAATAAAATTATTTCATAAATTATTTAATTAACACGCTCAATTCTATTATAGTCAGTTTTTATTAAAGAATTTTGGTTTGGTTTATTTTTCATTTTTATAAGAAAAGGAACTTATTCAAGTTGAAGTCGTAATATCATTTTAAATTCAAAAAGATAATAGTATTTTTTGTTATAAAGTTGAAGAAGACGATCGACCAGTTTTGTTACCGTGTATTACATGAAATACATTAATGTACAATTCGTGATGAGCATTGTGTGTTATCAAACGCAAGTCATTTCCATTTGACCTAATAAGTTATATAATGAAATGTCAAACTAAATGTAAATACATTGTGATGGCGGATTGATCGATTAAATGTTATTGGAAATGTCTAAGTAGTTTCACATATAAAAAAGGTCAGACATGTGTTTGAATGTAGTTAAAGATGAACTAGTAACATACTTCCACGCTATTGCAAGGTAAGGAGAGATAATATGGGCGGGCATATAGACGTGTAAACCTTAGTCTTTCCTTCACTATGATTAGTATAAAGCATTTAAAACGGCGACAGCCAAAGTATAAAATAAAACAGAGACAAACTTCGAAAAGATGTTTTGATACTTGAAAATTTTTAATTTTAATATTAATATATTAAAAATAAAAATTTTCAAAAAAATTGAATCTTAATAGATTAAACTCGTGTTAACGAGTGATTTTTTTCTTGAATAACAGTAGAATCGATTTCGAGAAATTTTTAGTTTCAAATGTGGATCTCTTAACAAAATATAATATGCATACGTACGTACATACGCGAAACCCTGTTGTAGGGTTCCATAGACAAATGCTTAAAACGGAACACTTATAATATCGTCATGTCCGTCTGTTATACTCACAGCCATTTTACACGAAGACTATTGAAGCTACATCGTTGAAATTTATATGTTTTAAGTGTTATTGTGCCCAAGAAATAGTTGCCGAGTTATATGCTTCTAAAGCCGTAAACTTTGTGTCTCCATCTCCCTCCCTACCCCTTCTAACTTTTGAAGTAACGCTTGTTTCGAAGAAAAGTCTCAAAATTCTAAAAAAATTATGACCTTCCTGAATACTTATAACGAAGATTGTTTTAAAGAAAATACATGAAGTACTTTTTGGGGATGTGAGATGTTTTCGGTTTCACGCGTTTCTGCCAAAATTAACTTCTCAAAGTAATATTATATTATAGTAAGAAATACAAACTTATTTATGCTGTCCATATAATATATATTATAGATAGGTAATTATTTTATATTTTAACGTAACAAGTTAGTACAAGTATGTAGCATAACAGTAGATTACTTAAAACGAATACACGTCAATGTAATAGTACATCATATACAGAGTAGAATTAATTTAATAAAAATAAAGCAAATTTCACTTACATTATCCCTGTATTGCCACAAATA